ACAACCAGGTATACATTTTAATCAACTTTTGCTCCAGTTACCAGAATCAGTTCAATAAGACTTGTAGTAGCTCTTGCAGCTAAATATGGTATGGAAATTCAACAGTTAGATGTACCTTGTGCATATCTTAATGGTGAACTTAATGAAACAATATACATGGAGATACCTTAACAATGCAGGGATATCTTAGAAAACATTATACACAGTGGATCAGGAGATGATATTAAAAGAGCAAGAGAAATGCTCGGAAAACTGAAAATGGAAAATAAAGTTTGTTTGTTGAAAAAGTCACTATATGGGTGGAAGCAAGCTGGAAGAAGTTGGAATCGAAAACTTGATCAAATACTAAAAGAATGTAATGCCATACCTACTACAGCAGATCCTTGTGTTTACTACATAAACAGAGGGGAAGATATTATACTAATTACAGTTTATGTAGATGATATTTTAATTGTCAGCAAAAATCATGAAGCTATAAAAGATCTTAAGGCTAAGATTGCCAAGAATTTTGAAATTAAAGATATGGGACAAGCTAAATGTTGACTTGGAGTGGAATTCGAATATGCTGAAAATAGTATAATTTTAACACAAAAAGGATATAAAAGAGATATCTTAGATCGCTTCAACATGTCGATGTGTAATACTGTTGGCACTCCTTTAGATCCAAATGTCAAATTGTGCAAACCAAAGGAACTAACGACAGAAGAAGAACAAAGGCTACCATTTCGAGAGTTAATCGGAGCTTTAACATATTTATCTGTAACAAACAGACCAGATATTAGTTTTGCAGTAAGTTATCTTGCTCAATTTAATAATTGCTATGAAAAAACCCATTGGTCAGCAGCTAAACGTGTTCTTCGTTATTTGAAAGGCACAATGAACATGGGACTTGTTTACTCTCCAAATAAAATTAATATGCAAGGTTTTGTGAATGCTGATTGGGGAAATTGTATAGATGATAGGAGATCTTATACAGGATATGTATTTTTATTGTCTGGAAGTCCAATATCCTGGGATTCCAAAAAGCAACGAACTGTTGCATTGTCATCTACAGAAGTCAAATATATGGGATTGACAGAAGTGGCAAAAGAAGCAATATATCTTCAAAATTTTATTTTGGAACTTGGATTTAAAAGCATGAAGCATATTATGTTATTTAACGATAATTTAAGTGCCTTAAAATTGGCTGAAAATCCAGTGTTTCATGCCAGAAGCAAACATATTGATATCAAATACCACTTTATTCGAGAACTACAACTCGAACATATTTCTACAGAAAAAATGGTTGCAGATATACTAACAAAAGGTTTATGTAAATCAAAACATTTAATTGGTATTGAATTAATGGGTCTGAAATTATTAGAAAAATCAAATAAACAGCAGCAGTTCAAGGGGAAGTGTTATGTATGAAGGTAGACTATGAAGATAACAACCAAAAAGTACAACCATAGTGACCTGCAACTGTTATAAAATAAATAAAAATAAAATAAGTTAGTTGTCAATTGAATATATAAAAATATTCTGTAACGTTTTAATTACAAATAAACTTTCTTAACATAATAATATTTTTCTGTGAAGTATTGGTTCGCCTCTGCACTCTACATTCCTAACATTATACAACTCTCAGCGCCGTCGTGGTTATTCACCGAAGCTGCAGACTTCTTGGGAGGGACCTTACGAAGTCATGGATCAAATAAATGACCTAATCTACAGGATCAGGAAACAACCAAGAGGAAAGCCGAAAGTGATCCATTTCAACCGATTGGCTCCTTACGCTGGAAACAATGCTCAAATAGACGATGCTAGAGTAAGGAGGGTTAATCCGCCGGAAGACGAGTTGCCTTTTGAAGACTGCATGTATTTATATTCTAGCGGTAAAAAAGCTCGGTATGGTGTCACTCGAGAAGAACAAAAAGATTTGTTCACGGTTTCGGCCGATTACTTCTTGGCTCACTGTGTTGCGGAAGACCTTAGGATGTCCAGGGGAATAGCGGTTGTCTTTAAAAACAAGTTTGGACGGGTCGATGATCTACGAAGGCAGAATCCCAAAGTTGTAGAGGTGCTTAAAATTGTGAATAATGAGCAGATAGGCAACAGAAGTATCTTTTATCTGGTAACGAAGCAGCTCTCCCATCAGAAAGCAAACTACGGTGACGTATGGAATGCCTTAAATAAATTGAGAGATACCCTTTTGTCCAAGGACATCATGAACCTGGCGATACCGAAGATTGCTTGTGGACTTGACGGTTTGGACTGGAGAATAATTAGAAGTATGGTGGAAGTTATCTTCAGATTTAGTTGCATACACATTCTTGTCTGTTGCCACAACCCTAAAAGAACAACCGGAAGGAAGACCGTAGACTGCTACTTCTATAGGACGTCAAATGCAAGTTTGGATCTCTATGCAAATATCGCCATGGAGCTGAGGACCATTTTCGGGACGAAAATGTTTTAAGACGGGGGCAATGTAGCGAGTATGGCTCTGGATCTCGGAATGATGACTCATCGCTCGAGCGATCTAGAGCTGTGTGCTGCTCGCTGGAATATTCGGGAACGTAGGCACTGTATGGAGTGTATAAGGAACGGCGCTGCATGGAGCAGGTAGTTAAGATTTGGTACTCACGGCGAAATAAATAAATATACGTGCAAATAAATAGACTCTTGTACAGTAGTAATATATAAATAATTAGTAGTTAAGTGTTTAGTTAGTTTTATAGTTTCTTAGTGTTTTAAGTGTAATTAAGTTTTAAAATAAATAGTTTAGTTCGTTAATAAACCAGTGCGTGTTTTGATTCACACTACGAACAGTTAAAAACGTTACAATATACAATTTTTTTTTCAAGGGCGAAATATAAATAAAATAAGCAATAGAATTATTTTATTTACTTATAACTCAAGTGGTATAAAATTTTGGCTAAAAGCATTAGAAATTATTGATAAAAACTAAAAAACTTATAACCCTTACTACAATGCCGATAAATATCCTAAATTAAAAATAAACACAAAATGCTGCGCTTGAATTAATTTTGACGTACTGACATTTGTTTGGAGTTCCGACATTGGCGACTCGTTTATCATCATAATATTATACTAATAAACGAGTTATTCTTTATTTCTTTCAATTAAAATTTAATAAATAATTACCAAATATTCCGTGCGATTATAATTAATACATCGTGATTGCTTTGTATAATTAATTTTATTATTTGACGTCTATTGAGTGACCTATGGATTTACGACTATTGAGTTTTTTGTCTGCCGCTAATGAAAAAGACGCACTTTAACTATCTCTATTCATGCATATAAGATTGTATATCATGGCCGGCCATGGCCGCTTGAAAAAAAAATGTTTTTTTCCGGTAATTTATTTTCATTTAATTTATCCCAAGAATCAATATATTTGTAGGGAAATATTCCTTTTTTGCATAGTAAATTAAATTCGTTGTCATTTTGACAGTTGGCTTTAGTAATTTCTTTTTCAGAATCTTCTAATTGAGAGCTTAATGTATCCAAGCTTTCGAGTAAAAATCGCAATGAATCTATAAACCTAAGATAAACGTTTTTTCGTTAATTTCCTTCATATTGATTTAGTAACTCTTTAATTAGGAAACGAGAATCGTAATTACTGGGTCATTCCATGTCAAATCGACAAATAGTTGGACGCGACCCCCACCGATTCGGATGAATTTCGGTGGAGAGTTTTGTCCCATCATAAAACCCAGTTCTGCCAAAGGAAAAAAATTTAAAAAGAGATATTCAAAATTAAAAATTTCACTGTTTTTCCGATTTTATGAGTTTGGTTATTTAATATTTCAGAAACTACTGAATATTAAAAAAAAACTCTGGTGCATTTTCAGAGGACACTTAGAGGTATGAGAAAAAAAAATTTTTGAAAAAAAATTTTGAAAATTATCAAAATTGAAAAATTTTGAATTTTAAAAAATCGTGAAAAGTAACCATCGCGGAAAAATTTTGGCCTGAAAATTTTTTGTATTATACCTCTAACATATCTAAAGAAATTCTGAAATTTTCAGATGGGTGTTCTTTTTCGTTTCAAAGATATGAATTTATGAATTTTGGCAAAATAGTTTTTTTCTATTTATTCAACTTTTTTTGTTGAATATTATTATTCTACCACATGATTACCGAAATTTGAGGTCTAAAATATTTTTCTTATGTTAATGGGATGTAAAACCATAAATATCTCAAAATTGTATGTAATTATCTGTTTATTTAGAATAATTTTTAACATTCAAGGCTTCCGTGATCAAATGAAAGGATTAAAAGCATAAAGGAAGTATTCGATTTTTAAGATTTCAATTCCTTTTGTCCTTTCAGGATTTGCTGCAGTTCATTTCGTACGACGTTTTTTGGTCACTTCCTTTTCTGAGGTCGATGTCTCAGTCCTTTTTCTCAATCTTAAAAAAAAAAAATGATATTAATTTTGAAAAAAAAGATTAATTGCCATAAAGCAAAAAAACTCGAAATTCTGATTTTTCTACATGGTTTTCATTGGTGATTCATAGATGATATCATAAACATCAGTGTTTTTTAAGCGAAAATCTTTTCCTTCTCGTGATTTCATTTTTATCACATCCCTTGAAATAGGAATAGCAGCATGACAGCTACGTATTCCTTGAACAGGTAAAGCATCTTTAAATCTTTTGCTGAGTTTTTTTTCGGCCAGCTGAATTCGATTGTTGGAAACGAAACGACAATATACTCCTGGAAGATTATCTTGGCCCCATTTACACATTCCTTCAGGAGTTTGTATTTGTTAATCAGCTTCTTTTTGGAGGTTAGCTCGAGTAAGTAAACGCTTGATAAATCCACCAAACCCATCACTTGGACCTTTCCCATGAGAAGTTGCATGGAAATGCCATTCGGCTGGTATTTTAAAATCTTCTTCATGGTGGAGCAAGTATACTAAATTGTACCGGTTCTTATACTGAGATGCGGCACCATCCGAAAAATAAATAATTTTTGTAATATTGGGAACCTTAATTTTTAGTGTTATGCGTTAAGTTATCCGAAACTATTATCAAACTAAGAGGTATTACTTTGCTTTTATTCCCATCAATAGATTTATAATAGCAAGCAAATGGATGAATTGTTGCTTGTGTATTATTCCAATATACTCCTTGAACACTATTTTGTAGCAAGAACGAATAGTTTTCAGAAAAATCAGCAACCACAAGAACTTGTCTAACTTCAAGATTACTTTTTACGGTTTGGAAATATTCAGCTTGTTGTTTAGCAATAAAATCATGTTGCAGTACTATTGGAATTGATTCTTTAAAAAAATCAACATAATCGTCAGTTGATTTAATGATCGTCTCCAAAGAACATCTATCAACTTGAGTCCACTGATTACATTTGATTTTATCCAAAAAATTATCCGTGAAAAGATTTTCCAAAATACTTCTTAATTTTATTGAGCCTGGACAATGAGTACAGGTACCGAAATAACAGTTTTCTGTAGGTTCTTGGCATATAACCATTTTCATACAGTCTTGATACGACGATAATGGTTGACTATCATCTCGAAGTTTTAATTTATCAAGTTTCGCACCGTGAAATAAAAGTTTAAAATTTTCATGAATAAGACAAACACAAACAACGTGAGTGCCTGATGCACCAGCAAGAACACATTCAGCCGGTCTTAAACTAGCAAATTTTGAGAAACCTATCTTTTCAAATAGGTACTTTTCTCGAAACCGTTCATAAATTTCGGTAAGGTTACCTAAAATTAAACGTTTTTGTTTCTGTACACGTTGACCATTCTCACACAGATTTATAATCTTTTTTGCCAGGTAATTCTCTACTGATATCTTGACTTCTGAAAATTCTTGGACTCTTTCTTCTGTATTCTTCAATAGTGGATGACCTTTATTGGAATCAGGAATAAACAGAATACCATCTTGTTTTACTTTCTGTTTCACTTTTCTTACCATGTAAGAAGATGCTCCAAAGGTATTTACAATTTTTTCTATCGACCAACTTGATGGAAGAACAGATAAAATTTGTAATTTTTCACTCCATTTACTAGTATTATCAAATTAATTTTTTAATTCTTCTACTATTTCTCTTCCAGTTAGTTCTGGATCATCGTCAATCGTCGAATTGCTATCTTTAGCTGAATCGAAAACATCTGTTACATGTTCAAAGCATGATTGTATCTTAGATTTCATGTCATGTAATTTCTTCCAAGCATAAGTTTTCGATCGATCTAAATCTTTTTTTTTAATCGGAGATAAATTTAATGTTTTTGAAACAGTATTTAGACGTTTAAAGTGAATATCTTGTGGAGTGAAAGTTTCACTAGTTAAGCTATAAACTTTAGATGTTGATGTTGTAGTATTCGATAAAAACAATTTTTCAGATAAATTAGATGACATTTTTTCCTGCATATCAAGTGAGCTTTGAATGACTACTGAGGTCTCCTCTGCGTTGACTGTAAACATTTCAGATGAATCAAAATTTTCTGAAATCGCTTCAACGAATCCACTTTCTTCAACTTTGACAGTTTGTTTAACTACTTTTGAATCAATTTCCTGGTTTTTTTTTTAAATCACTATTGATTTTTTTTAAACAGGTTATACATAATTTAGTGCCAGGAACAATGGGCAAACTAACCTTACACAGATTGTAAAGCTCAAGAGAAACCACTTTTAATGATTTAAATACTTGCACCTTATGAATTTTATACGGATCAATACAAACTCTTTGATTCAAAATGTAATTTTCACGAAATTGCTTGTTATGTTTAGCACAAATGAAATTCACAACGGTACCACTTCTAGCATTTAGAGAAATGCGGTATTCATCTGAAAGAGACTTGCAGTCTATTAGACCATCTTCGGAGCACATTTCTTTACTAGATATACCGATTGAACACTGTCTCTTTTTCTCCAAAACGAATTTTAATTTTATTCTGATTATTATCTCAGAAATTTAGATTAACGAACAGACTCAGTTATTTTATGTTGTTGACGATTAGATACAACAAGTTTGATTTTTATAATAGTAATAATAATTATAAGAAATAGGGCCCTCTAGTGAATTCTGGCATAATAGTGATTTCACTGATGGGAACATAGATGGCAGAGTGTGACACTTTTAACATTATTTAAGTTTTGTTTTAAAGTTAAATCTATAATATATTTTGAGATATTTATGGTTTTACATCCCATTAACATAAGAAAAATATTTTAGACCTCAAATTTCGGTAATCATGTCACATTATTATTTTACCACATGATTCATGTGGTAGAATAATAATATTCAACAAAAAAAGTTGAAAAAATAGAAAAAAACTATTTTGCCAAATTTCAAAAATTCATATCTTTGAAACGAAAAAGAACACCCCTCTGAAAATTTCAGAATTTCTTTAGATATGTTAGAGGTATAATACAAAAAATTTTCAGGCCAAAATTTTCCCGCGATGGTTACTTTTCACGATTTTGAAAAATTCAAAAAATTTTAATTTTGATAATTTTCAAAAAAAAATTTCTCATACCTCTAAGTGTCCTCTCAAAATGCACGAGAGTTTTTTTTAATATTCAGTAGTTTCTGAAATATCAAATAAATAAACTCATAAAATCAGAAAAACAGTGAAATTTTTAGTTTTGAATATCTCTTAGGAATTTTTTTTTCCTTTGGCAGAACTTCGGTTTATGATGAGACAAAACTCTCCACCGAAATTCATCCGAATCGGTGGGGGTCGCGTCCAACTATTTGTCGATTTGACATGGAATGACCCTACTAAAATTGTGAAAAACTACGGTAATAGTCTGAATTTTTTTTAATTGTAAATTTCACAAGCTGGGGGCTGGACCACGATAATTTGTTTTTTTTTTAGAGTTAATATCATTACATCCAGAAGCAAGATGAAAATGATCTTCAACTTTTTCTTCATTCGGCTCAAAAGGTTTTTCACAAATGTGACACTGTGTGGCACTTTTAAAAGAAGCATTTTCAAAATTTGTTAAGATTGCAATTTTTTTTTAATTCAGAAACTAACCATTCTATGCAATCCTCCCCTTGATACAAGTTAAATTTTGATAATGAATTATCATATGAACATTTAAGATAATATTAAACGCTGAAGGAAATATGTTTATGATCATTTAATGAATATGTTTATAATCATTTAATGAGTTTTTATTTAAATTTGAATCACATGATTTTAAAATGCATTCTATATCAGCATAAACATGAACGGAACTATTTGTTTGCTATGATATTGCGTAAATTTTAATATATTTTCTCCTGGATTTGGTACAATTGTTTTACATTCGGTAATATTTAAACAGTTTTCTAAATGTTTATCTAAAATATTTTGACGTAAAAAAGAGTTTAGACATCTAAAACAAATAAATTTTTTACCATTATTTTATGAAATTTGACTTGAAATTAATCGTGATAAATTTGTTATTAATGTAAAATTAAAACTATCGTCGGATCGTATTGCTAACAAATTTATGTAATTTTCTGTTTTACGTTTACTTAAAACAATTGGTACTACAAAATTATTTTCAATTCAATATACATTTATTGACAAATCATTTAATTTTTAAATAATTTTAATATCGTCTAATTTCATGGGAAAGTTTATACCTTTATAATTTAAAATATTGACTAAATGTTTATAATACGAGACTCGATTTGCATTTTTTTGATTAGGATTCATCGATGTTAATATACAATACAAAAACAATATTCATCATTATTTTTAATGTTTAATACTGCTTTTTTATTTTTTATAAAATTAGGTAGTTCTTTAAAAGTTTCCCCTTTTAGAAGACTATATTTATTTTTAAACCTATTATTTCTATTAGGCTCCAACCTGAATCTGAGTCTCTTTCTTGGAATTCTTCTAATTTAATGTTTAATTTTTTGACTATATTTTCATAAAAATATGTTTTAAAATTTGTTGTCAAGTCTATTAAAGAATTAGCAGTTATGAAATGTTTTACATCTGTTTCTAATGTGCTTGGTTAAACAAAATTAACATATAAAATCGAATTAACTTGCTTTTTTTAAAAAAAGATCAATATTTTTAATTTTATTATTTACAATCATGCCTGTACGTATACCCCCATTAAAACACGTTTTTACATCTTGCCAATAAACTTGTTTTTTTTATATTTTAGAGTTTTTTTTTGTTGTAAACCACCCCCAACCTTAATTTGATTTAAAAAAAATTATGATAATTAAAATAGTTAAATTTGCCTCAATCTGAAACTTATTTTTATCGTTACTCAATAAATTAATGATTTTTTTAATATATATGTTTTACTTGATTTTGGTAATCTACATTTTTCTTGCTATGGTGAAGATTACGAAAAAATAATCGGTAAAATACATTATTTTCCAAAAATTAACTTTAGAAAATTTACTCAAGCTAAGATCGTTCCACATACATATGGGTGAAGAATATAAAGAGTTACGTTTAATTAAATTTTAGAAGACCTCGTAGGAGTTTAACATTATAATAATTATTACGATACAAAAATGTTTACGAACTTTATAGAAACCCCACCAAAATACAATAACAACCTAGTTTATTTAGAGTTAGTAAATAATTTTAAATATTTTGTATTTAGTAGTATATGATATAAGCTTAAGTATTGTAGCGAGTACCGCTCTGGATATCGGAGTGATGACTCATCGCCGGTTAGTCATCGCCGGTTAGTCATCGCCGGTTAGTCATCGCCGGTGACTCAGCGCTCGAATAATCGAGAGTGTGGAGCTCGCTGGAATGTTCCAGAAGTCTTGGGCGCTAAATATATAAGAAACGGAGCAGCACACGGCAGTCAGTCCAGTTTTGGTACTCGCGTCGAAATAAATAAATATACGTGAAAATAAATACTCTTGAACAGTAGTGATATATAAATAATTAGTAGTTAAGTGTTTAGTTAGTTTTAGTGTTTTTAGTGTAATTAAGTAATAAAATAAATACTTTAGTTCGTTAATAAACCAGTGCGTGTTTTAATTCACACTACGAACAGTTAAAAAACGTTACAATTGGTGTCAGGAGTGCGGTTAGTGTGAAATTTCGCGAAAATGGTTTCGTTAATGGACTTAAAAGTGGCAGACCTTAAGCGGGAGCTAGAGGAAAGAGAATGTGAAACAACTGGAAAAAAGAATGTGTTGCAGCAGCGGCTTCGAGAAGCATTGGAACAGGAAGGTGAAAATCCAGATACGTATTTATTTGAAGGCCCGTGTAATATGCATTTAATGTTGCAAAATTTAAACGAAAAAATGTTGGAGAATTCTAACGATTTAAAACAGAACATTCTTGAAAATTCCAACGACTTACAACAGAAAATGCTAGAAAATTCAAACGAATTGCAACAGAAAATGTTGGAAAATTCTAGCGATTTAAAAGATTTACAACAAAAGATTCTGGAAAATTCCAACGAGTTGCAACAGAAAATGTTAGAAAATGTCAACGATTTAAAGGATGATTTGCAACAGAAAATTCTGGAAAATTCTAAAAATTTAAAGGAGTATTTGGAACAGAAGATTTTAGATAATGTAAATGAATTAAAAGAGAACGTAAGGATTGAATTAGAAGAAAAAGTAGGGCAGAAATTTGACGACGTGAGAAGGGAATTAGATACAAGAGAAGACAAATTGAACGAGATATTGGAAGTCAAAATTAAAGAAATAAATAGTAAACTGACAGCTGTAAATCTACCCATGATGCTGGCGGAACCAGGAACAATGCCGGAGGGGAGCCGAGTTCGGATGAAACCACCTCAGTTCGATGGAAAAACTTCTTGGACCAACTACATCCGTCAGTTTGAGGCAGCAGCAAAAGCAAATGGCTGGCTACCAGAAGAGAAGGCTACAGCATTGACTCTGGCTTTACGCGGAGATGCAACGGACATCTTGCAGACACTTTCTCCCAACGAACAAGAAGATTACGAAGCGTTGGTTAAACATC